GTAATCAGGATGGGTGTGTCGGAGGCAGTGCGGTTGGTGCAGGATAGAGCAGGGTTTAGGGCTGTTGTGCATAGGGTCGCTATGAGTCGAAAACGGCTCGACGGCACATAACAACAACAACAACAACCAATGTATTCCTTGAAGTAAAATTACTAGATAAAAAGATTACAAAAATTTAAAACATAGTACCAAATTGCCCTATAGAAATGTATCTATTTATGTTTCCAATAGTAGTACATGGATTCCTCTACTTTAATATTGTTGTTAATTGCCTTAATGAACATTAAGTGCCTTAATGAACAATATCATCTGAAAGTAACATTTGATTAGGCACTAAATGCATGACAACAATCTGGAACAAAGTGGAGTGGAGGAGGAGGAGGGAAGAAAATGTGCAACAATGAATGAATGAAAACTCCATCTTTCTGTACAGAAAAAAAAAATACCTAAAACTTTCTCACTATCTCTCCCAGGAAGATTGACATGAAACTTCTGGCCAGTACATTCCACACTACGAATGAAGCAAAATAAAAGAAAAACAAAGTTGTCTCAAATCTTAATAGAGCAGAAAATGAGCTAAATGTGTCAATATAGGATGCCCTCTCCAAGGACATCCTATATTCAGATAGCATTTAAAGTGTTTACCAAACACATTACAAAGAAAGAAAAGCCATTTACCTTTATGGGCAATATGACACAGGTCTTCCTGCATTTTGGAAAACTCTGATGACGTTTCCGAGCCATCAGAGTAATTCTTCTCTTCTCCAAAATCTAGTGTTGATAAGTTCGGGTTGGAGGAGTGCAATCTCAGCGGGCCAGAGAAAGGCTTAGGGACCTACAGCGACACCAGTGAGAGAGCTGTTTGCAGTTGCAGGTGACTTAGAACATTTGGTTGGTTGGTTCTGCCTAGGTAACTAAAGCTTTCTATCCAATGGGGTGACTCCTATTTACAAGATAAAGCCAAAAACACAGGAAGTATTTTCCAAAGCAACTTGCCACTGAGTTCTTGAGAAATACAAGTGGGTGAGAAATTATACATTCTTTTGGAAATTATAGAACCATTAAGTCTATAATTTTGAAATGACAGCCCCATATGCCAAGCTCTTTCTCATTTAGAACCCAATTTCTTCCTGTTGAAAAAGAAAAAAAATCACCCATATCAAGGTTGCAAACAGTGAGCTGGTTTTATATTTCTTTTTTTATAGTTGCATGTGTAATGTCTACAAAACAAAGTGACTTCTCACATGCTTGTAAATGAATTACTTTTTCTTTTAAAATTATTTAAGATAAACCCAGAGAGCTCTGAACCAAAGAATAATTAAGATTAGATGAGATTATCTAAGACCACGTTTCATTTAAACTCTTACAAAGTTGCAATGGAACAGGCAGAAGTCAGTGTTTAGCTAGTGGTCTCCAGCGTGGGTGGGTGTTGGTCTGGCCTGGCACCTGATGGGGGATTGGGAAGTTGAAGACAGAAGGTAAAAGGGAATCTGCACAAGGCCTTGCTCCCAGAGATTCAGGCCCATGGACCACTGGCAGAGGGGACGGGTCATAGCACAGCGCCACAGCAGCTACCAACGAGGCACACACACTTGAGCAGGAGAGGAGGAACACCAGAGAGGGGAAACCAAAATCCTGCCATTGGCTTTCACCTTCCAAGTTCATATCATTTTCATCTTCAAAAATATTTTCTCCCCTACCCTATATCCATAGCATGCTTATTCTACTCTCTGAAATATCTAAGTTATTGGATTCATCTCCTTGCATAGGATTTTTTAGGGAGATTGGTCTCCTCCTGAGTTAAGGGAGCCCTAGCTCATGGTGTGCAAAGCAGGGCGCCATGGTTACCTGTAGCGTTCCTTTAGCATCTTTGCCAATAGCTCTGGACCGCCACCTCCTGTGGGATCTTTTTTCCTTTTTGGGACTTTCAAAAGCTCCACCCTTTTTATCAAAACAGGAAAGAGAGCACAGACAGTAAGGTCCTCCGAACCAAAAGGGATAAGTGCACGCAAGGTGAGCCTCTCCAATCCCTCAGGCTTCGCTGAAGCAACCAGTCAGACAACATCCCATTGTTAGTGGAAGCGAGGGGAGGAGACAGACAGCAGAGGCCAGAAGACAAGCAAAAGAGGGGACTGGCTAACCTGGATGGCGTTGATAGCTGGTGCGGAATACGTCCGGTGTAGAACGTCCATATTTTCTAGGAGCTGGCTCATTTCCACCAGGTAGGTGTGACAGTGTGCCAGGTCTGGGGAGAAAGAGAAGACTGTTCACAGCCCTCTACTTTGAAGGCAGAGAAAAGACATGCCCAAGTTGGCATGATGCAAGGTTTTCTACTGCATTTCAGATCCTTTTCATATTTATCTCTAGGAACTTTTACTTGCTTTTTTATTTGAAACACAACAGAGAAAATAGTGGTTAAAAGCATGAAGTTGGATCCACACGGCCTCAGTTTGAATCTACTTAACAAACTATGAATCTTGGACAAATTATATAGCTTCTCTGAGCCTCAGTCTTCTCACCTGGAAAATGGTGATGGTTAACAGACTCTTGCTCACAGGCTATGAGAGTGGAGTGAGTTGGCCCATGAGAGTGTTTAGACTGTAAGTACCAAACACACCAGCTGTTATCAGCTTCACTGCGACTGCTGATCATGCAAAACAGGCAGTTGTTGCTGGCTTGTAAGGACCACACTAAATGATGCAACTAAAAGGAGAACTGCATTAGTGTCTAAAGATACCTCTGTCTCTCTTGGTTGTGTACCTGGCAGGATAGCAAACTGAACTGAGAGAACCTAGATTTGGACCAGTTCACAGGTCACTAACTCAAGCGTCCATAATTTGCTATCACGATGCATACAGTTGTTTTTGCTGAGGGATGAGGGCCCAACATAAACCAAACGCACAGCCATCTAGTCAATTCCAACTCAAAGCAACATTAGAAGGCAAAGAAGGACTGACACATCATGCCCCTGTGGAATGGCTGGTGGGTTTCAAACAGCCAACCTTTCAGTTATCAGTCAAGTGCTTTAACTATGTCTTAGGATAGCAAAAACCCCAATGCCATGGAGTTGGATCCATTCAGAGCTACCCTATAGGGCAGAGAACTGTCATATCTTTTTCTCCAATAGGGTCGCTATAAGTCGTTTACCACTCAATGGAACCTAACAACAACAACAACACACATTGCAGATGACTCAATAGCACATAACAACAATAACATACTATGACATGTTTGGAAGGAGTCGCATCCACTTCCTAAACAACATGCCTCTGGAAACTCTATGAACTTTGATAAATGTCAAGAGTTGTAGAGGGGCTTCAGACCTTTTGTTCATAGGGTCACTGTAAGTCATGCTCAACTCAAAGGCAATCAACAACAACAAGCTTCCAGATCTGCCTATTACTTTAGGATGGCAGCTTTCAAATTTCAGTATCATCAGAATCACTGAATGCAGCTGCTGAAACAAATCCATAGACTGCAGCCCCAGTTGTCATCTAGCATGTCTGGGGTGAGCCAGGGGTCTGACTTCCTAAGTTCAATGACTGCACTGATGCTGCTAGTGCAGGGACCACATTTTGAGGACCGCTGCTGCAGCATGTCACTCTGTGAAGTTCACGAGTGATGGTCACTGGGGAGTTAAGGCCTATAAGCTCTCAGGTATAGTAATATTCACACTTTATTCAACAGAAGAAAAAGACAACTTTCTTTAACAATGCTTCACAATGCTTGACTATACTTGGAATCACCTGGAAAATTTCACAAGTTGCAATGTGCCCCCAAGTCCCACACAGAGCATCAAATTAAAGTATACCTACCCCCATTGGTGGGTTCCTCTTTTTGTTCTCCCAGTGATTCTAATTAAGGTTAAAAACAGGTGGTTCTCACTATAAGCTGTTTGAAATGCTGACAACATATCAGAATCACTCAGGAAACTAGAAAACTTCCTAAGAAACCCTAGTGGTGTAATTGGTTAAATGTTGGACTGGTAACCAAAAGGTCAGTGGTTCAAACCTAGCAACTCCTTTAAGGCTGGCGAATGAGGCAGTCTCCTCCAGTTAAGATTAATAGCCTTGGAAACCACCTGGGACAATTCTACCCCATTCTGTAGGATTGCTGTGAGTCAGAAGGGAATCAACAGAGTTCTGAAGGGCTTGACACCAGACCAATTTAAACAGATTCTTTGAGAGATGGGCCTGGGCCTGAGTACTTTAAAAACATCTTATTGGTATTTCCAAAGTGTACTCAAGGTTGAGCATGCCTGTTTATGCAAATTCTCCCTTTGATTTGCCCACTCATTTCTAGAACAGTCATTCTCAATCTTGAGTGTGCACTAGAATAATTTCCGGCACTTAAGGATTTTATGGAGCTAAGAATTAGTTAGAAGTTCTGTGTCAAAATCAGACATTTGGTACTTTTAAAAAGGGAAAGAATTGCTAAGAAAAGCTCTCCACTCAGAATACCCTTGTGTCCTGTACCAGTCAGATCCGATTTGAGGGTACACACACACACAAAAAAAATAATTTTTTTAAAAAAAGGAATACCCATGTGGTGGCATAAAGCTCTGTGTCCAGGGTTTGTGTTGATCAAGAGTTTAACCTAATACAATGATAATGCTTTTTAAAAAAATGAGTAGGAATACAGACAAAAGAGGAAAAGAATACACAGTCATTTATGGCATAAGTGGAGCTTCAGGCCAGTCTACCTTTTGAGCATTTTTCCATGTCCTCTGAAGAGTGCAGCCACAAAGGAACTCGAGTCTCCCCACCACAGGAAAATGACAGATTGCTTCCGGTTTGAAATGAATTCTGCTTTGATATACTGCTGCGCTGTTCCACAGACGACAAAAGAACATTACAAATGAGAACAGGGCCCAGAGGGAGCACTTTAGGGTAAAGCTGACAAGTCACCAGCGGAAGCCCTCTGCCCCAAATGAGGAAGAGGTCTCTGGCAAGGCACCCGCAGTAAACCCTAAGATCTCAGGCCATCACCCCACTTCAGCCACATTGGGCTCTAAGACCTGAACCTTCAGTCCATGATTTCTCCTCTGTCAAGTGATAATAATACCAAAGCAATGCTATAAAGGCTTGGAAATATTTTCTAACCCTACATGACTACAGACACATTTACAACATTTTATGACCAGATAAGAAAACCACACTCAAACTGATCGAGACAAAGCTAGAATAGGTGCCAAAAATATTTAGCAACATTACATTTTGCTCCCTGATAAAAGAACCAAAATCAAACTGGCTAAGAGAAAGCAAGAGTGTCTGTGGTCAATATAGTCATTTTTGAATAGTGAATTTGAGTTACTGGCCTACATGTAGTATATGCTCACATGGTTCTGATTAATCAGGCCAATCCACCTAATTAAATCCACACTCAGAGCTTTCCCCACCGCTCCACACTCCCACCTTCCTCAGGCTCCCAGACGACACTCCCCAAAAAGCCACCCACTCCTTTTAGGTACATGACTGACAACTCCCCGGTTACCTTCCTACTTGACATGGAGTCAAACATCCCAGAGGCAGAGTCTGTGACAGTAGATCCTGAGAAAAAGTGATTGACATCACGTGGAAACATGGCAATTTCATTTTGACGATACATTCTGTGGTGACGGAGCTTGGATACCCACTCATCAAAGCCATCATCTGACTTCACCTAAAATGTGTTAAATTCAAAGGAGGAGATTAAAAAAATATAAAAATATAAAAAAATCTATCACCAGCAGTTAGAAAATCAAAAGACAGATTATCCTGAGAAAATCTGTCAGGGACCTCTGCAGAGTACTGAGAAGCCTAGAGACTAAGGTGCACCTGATCCAGTCCATGGTCTTTACAATTACTTGCTATGCATCAGAGAACTGGACAATGACAGAAGAATTGATGCCTTTGGGTTGTGGTGCTGGAGAAGAATTTTGAACATACCATGGACCACCAAGAGAACAAGTAAGTCTGTCTTGGAGAGGGTGAAACTAAGTTGTGTCTTGGGAGACTAGGATTTTGAAGCTCAGTATCACATACTTTGGGCACAAGGCCTAGAAGGACTGATCCTTGGAGAAGGACATCATGCTCAGAATGGTGGAGGGACAGCGCAGGAGAGAAAGACCCTGGACGAGATGAACTGATACAGTAACTAGGGCAGTGGGGGTTGGTGTGTTGGAGCCACTGAGTCTGGCTCAGAACAGGACAGGCTTCAGAGCTGCTGTACATAGATGGTCACTAGGAGTCACAAGCAACTCGACGGCACATAACAATCAAGAAGGGAGCAATTATTCATCAAATTGAGCTCACTCTCTCTTCTCATTTTGGCACATGTGCTATTTGCCCTCACCATCAGCTCCCACTCGTGGCAACACCGCACACAACAGAATGAAGTCCTGCAACATCCTGATTACTGGTGAGCCGAATCCACTGCTGTGGTCAATGTGCTTTGGAGTGTCTTCCAACCTAGCAGCTCACCTTCCAGAACTGTATCTGTTTGGTTCCCATAGGGTTTCATGGGCTACTTTTTGGAAGTAGATTGCCAGGCCTTTCTTCCTAGTCTGTCTTTGGCTGCTGGAAGCGCCAGTGAAACCTGTCCACCCCCACATGTGACGCTGCTGGTATTTAGTGATGGGTAGTGGGCGGCACATGTAGAAATCACTTATTTAAATTGCTTTTTTCCAGTTTGATTCCTGCTGAGAATTTTCATTTTCATTCCTTTTATTCTGGATCAGAATCTATACTTTAACAAGATCCCCAGGTGGTTATTTGGAATATATTAATTCAAAGCTCTATTTGTTTTATATTTATATGGTCTGTGGGGGAAGATGTAAGAGAAAGTGAAAAGCCAGAAAAGGCCTTCGTTACTCATATCTTTGTGCTCTCTATGAAAAATATCCAATTGTTATGATTTTGTGTTTCTTCTTCAGAAAGTAAAAGGTACTGGTTACAGGAACAGACAAACTGAGATTTTGCTTTACAACATTTCCAAGTTCTCTGCTCCAACCTTTTCTTATTCTTATAAGAAAAACTAAGTAACCTCTTTTTTTTTTTTTTTTTAGAGAATCATGTCCTTTATTGAGGTTTAACCTTTAACCTACAGGATGAAGACTGGATTTGGGATGGAGAGACCAAGACATCACTAAGTTTTAGATATGTTAAGCTTGAAATACCCTGTCCATATTAGATGGACAACTTAGACAAGCTCTTCTTTTTAAAAACTCTTTAATAATTCAAAATTTAAAGATCAACCTACCCTGAATGAAAATTAATTAGAAAAATTTCCTAAAATATTTAAATTGATTAATCTTTTTTACAAAGAATATATTGTGTACAAGATGTTGATGAAACTTAGTTTTTAAAAAACTTTTCAGAAATAGGAGGAAAAAGCAAACACTGAGAAATTATCATTGACTTCCTGGATTTTCTCTAAATATACATGAACATTTAGCTGTTTTCTATCGCTGGTTGTTGCATGTCATCAAGTTGAAACCGACCGACAGCTGACCCTCCAGTAGGTTTTCAGAAGCTTCCCATCCTTCTCCCAAAGAGGAGCTGGTAGATTTGAGCCACATGCCTTTGAGATAACAGAGCAACTTCTTAACACTAGGTTACCAAAGCTGAGTATTTATTAATATAACTTCCCATAATGTTTGTAATGAATAAAAATATTATAAAATATTTTACATTCATAAAGCACTAACAAGAATAAAAATCTATGTACCATTGATATGTTTTTCCAAATTTTAGTTTCTCTTTTCAGAGAGAATGAATAGATTGATTTTCTATTTGGTCACTCATACACATTTCATTTGCTTGTTTCCAATCATTTTTCTATCCTCTTGCTTGCAGCCTCGGGAGTTGCATCCCTGGGGAAAGGCTGCCCTTTTAATCATGTGAGCTGATAGTTCTTAGGACTTAGTACCTCTCTATGTTATTGTTTATAGGCTTGTCTACCATTGAGAATGTCATGCTTGGAAGGGTGGAGGGAAAGCACAAGAGGGGAAGACTTGGGATGAGATGAATTGACTCAGTAACTGGGGTTAGGTGTGTCAGATACAGTGAAATTGGCTCAATACAGAGCAGGGTTCAGAGCTGCCATCCATAGGGTTACTAAGAATCATGGTAACTTAACAGCACATAACAACACAACTACCACCACTCAGTGAAAGTTAGGCCACCTGTGTGAGTTCGTTCCTGGCCCACAGATATTTCTTATTGGTCAACATTTATTTGTATGAATCAATATTTTTAAAGTATGTAAATGACACCAAAACGCATTACAATCAAGTTTGAGTCTGACTCATACCAAACTACCACTGGGTTTCCAACATTTACAGGAGGTGAATGCCCATCTTTCTCCCTTGAAGCAGCTGATGAATCCAAACCACTGACTTTTTGGTTAGCAGTACAGATGCAGTACCTAAAATACCACTCCACTTTGCTCCTTCTTGTTATACTGCTGAGCTGGAACAGACTCACAGCTGACCCTCCAGCAAGTCTTGGAGGCAGCGCATTGCACAGGAGATTGCCCACCCTTCTCCCACAGAGCAGCTGGTGGATTCAAACCATGTGCCTCCGGGTTGGAAGCACAGTTCCTTACTACAAAGCTGCCAGAGCTTCCTTGCAATGCCTTACATAGCCAAATATTAAGAGACAAACCAGAAACAAAAACCACCTATTATCAAGCGATTCTGACTCCTATCAAACCCTTATGTGCAAAGAACTGTTCCATGGGGCTTTCAAAACTGATCTGGTGGAAGCCGACCTCCAGGCTGCCTTCTGAGGCACCACTGAGTGGATTCACACTGCTGATTTTTTGATTAGTAGCCAAGATCTTAAGTGAATATGTCAACCAAGGAATCCTGTATCAATGGGCAAACTTATGCGGTTGTAGTTTCAGACATCTTTAAGCATTGCATGTCAGGTTAACTTCCAAGAAGACAAATCCAGGTCAATTGTGTTAAAATCTTTGCTAGTGCTCCAGCTGAAAGCAAGAAAGTGGACATAAACGTCAGTGGCATAATTCATTTTGGAACTGTTATGCTCTTATGCTGATTCTCATGTTTGTTTTGTTGGCTAATCCACCGATGAGCATATAAAACTTAAAACTCTCCAGGTAAATAACTCACTCTGCCATTTACTAGATGATGTAATAAAAACAGACACATCTATTTGTCTTCCTAAGTTAAGTTCTGGAAATGTGTTTTATTTTCCAGATGTGGTTAATCAGAATTTTACAGGAATTTTCTTACAAACTGACTGTGTCATCCTTTATATTAGCTGAATCTCTGAAACCAAAGTCAACCACTCAGAATCTTTAAGTCAATTCTGACTCATATCAACCCAATACAACCAAGCAGCACTGCCCCAAAGGGTTTCGGAGGTTGTCCATGTTCAGGGAAGTAGATTGTCATCTTGTGCTCCTGAGGAGTGGCTGGTAGGATCAAACTGCTAAACTCTGGGTCTGGCAGCCAAGTGCTAGAACTACTGTGAAACCAGGACTCTTTAACTTACCCTCCAGAGCCCTTGCAAATAAATATAAAAACTGCTCTTTTTGACTCTCTCTTATTGGTTAAGGACAGTAGAATAATCAAAGTACTGTATTAAATAAATTACTAGGGTCATTATCCTAGGTCCTTAACTAATTATAAAACTGTGGACTATTCATAGGATACTTCCCTGTTACTCAGGCCACACATCTCTAAAGCAGGGGAACAGAAACAGACCTACCACATTTTAAATTTTTGTTGCTCTGGGGCTATTAGAATGCTCAGATAACATTTACTTATACTAACAATTATATCTGATGTTTAAAAGCATAAATAAGAAACATAAAAGAGTCAACACAGTAATATAAAATTATTCTACTAGAATTCAAAGTATTTTAAGGCATTATCTTTTTCCTGCATTAAGAATTAGTGTTATTCAGTTAACCAAAATAGTTGATAAATGAAAATGCATTGTTCCCTGAATATCTAAAAACAAACCTAAGATCCATTGAGGAGACAGAAAAACAACAAACTACTCTTGAAGAGACTGGCCACTAAAACTAGGGAAAGTATCATTCCTTACATTGTTTTTGTTGTTTTTTTTTAAAATTTAGGTTGTTTATTTTTCATTTCAATGAACATCTACAGAGATTTTGGGATTCCATTCATTCATTGTCGCATCCTTCTCCCCGCACAAACCCCTCCCCCCTCCCTTTTGCTCCTCTCCTTGAAAAGCAAAAGAAAA